TGTTTTTAAGAACTTGTAGGCATCCTTCAATCGACCAGCCTTGGTATGAACTTCAATGAGTATGTTGTAAGTGACAACATCGGGGTTGATCCCACTAGTCCTCATCTGTTCAAAAAGCTTGCTTGCTTCATCCACGCGACCAGTCTTTCCGAGTGCATTAATCAGGGTGTTGTACATCACTATGTCAAGGTAACCACCTTGCTTCATTAACTTATCCAGAACGGAGTTTGCTATATCTGCTCTTCCCATCTTCCCTAACCCCTGAATTATCAGATTGTAGGTTGCTATGTCTGCTGGGCAAATCTTCTCCTCCATTTCACTAAGAACACCCCAAGCCTCATTGAGATAGCCCTTCTTGACAAATGAACTCATAATGGAATTGTATGTGTAGTTGACAGGATTCACACCCATGTCAGTGAATATCTCAAACAACTTGCAGGCTAAGCTCAGTTTTCCCTTGGATAGGAAAATGGACAAGAAAGTATTCACCATATCCACATCAAATGAATCAGTTTGCTTTGCCTGAACTCTTTGCCCTGTCTTCAGCGAAAACAGATGTGAAGATTGTTCATCTGGCTTCACTTGGTTAGCCAGTTGATCCATAGACGGGGATGATGACCACTGATCCGTTTCAGTTGATGAAATCTCTTTGTTGTTTCTATCATCATTTTCAGAACCCAGGTTGGTGTTCATTGCTTGGTCATCAGGGCCAACTAAATTCACAATGTCACTGAAGCTTCCTTTGGTTGGGAACAAGGAACTATAATCCTCTCTTTTGTTTGGTGGGTTTTTAATTGAAGCATCCAGATTGGCTTTCCACTTTAGAATATGTGGAACTAGATTACCATCCCTAATGTGCTTCATGAGCCTCTCTGCCCAATCCCACTTTCCTTGTTTATGAAACCCTATCAAGAGGGATGTTATGGTAATCAAATCTACAACAAAGCCCCTGGCTTCCATCTCTTCCACCAATTCTAAAGCTTCCTCAAGCAAACCTTCTCTACAAAGCTGCAATATAACAATGCTGTAAGTGATGGCATCCACAAACTGCCCCTTCTTCTTCAGATCACAAAACAGAGTACAACCAGCCTCAGGCCTTCCATTCCGGAACAACCCGTCAATCAGAATATTATATGTCCAACACGATGTCCTTACTCCATCCTGAACCATCTGCTCAAACAGCTGACATGCTTCTGCAATCTTCCTTGCCTTGAATAAACCATCCAGTAGAGAGTTATATACAATGGTATCTGGTGCAAAACCATTAAACTGCATCTCATTAATATATTTATAGCATCATCAATTCTATATGACTTTGAGCACCCTTGAATGATAACTCTGTATGTAAAGGCATCTGGCTCATGGCCAGACACTTTCAATTCCTCCCACACAACTAGAGCATCCTTCACCTTTCCAACCATGCAAAGCACATGAATCAGGCTATTGTAGGTACACAAGTCTGGACCTGATTCCCCATAAGCTAAACTCTTTTCCTTCATCTCTTTAAAGAGTCTCAAAGAAGTGACCAAATCAGCCCAACAACCAAAAGCATGAATGCATATATTGTATCCCCAGGTATCCAAATCAAACCGCTTATTTTCCCTCCATTTATCAAAAACTTGTTTAAATTCTACCCTCATATCTGCTTTCCTAAGAGCAACTAGCAACTCATTAAACCTATGTGTTTGGGCAGCTTCACAAGATTTAGTTGACCACAAGTTGGTCAGTATAGGGACCTGTAAAACAGACCCGAGGGTTGTTTTGGGATAGGCACTCCGACACCTAAGTTAATAATATTTTATACTTTGGGTTCTTTAGAAAGAGAGAAATATAATAGAGAGAGAAAAACTCTCGAAAAAGTTTTCTACCTTTGAGAGTTGTGAGAGTATTTATAGATTTTTTGGAAATATTTTACACGTATCGTATTGTACTTCTATTGATCCCTTTGAATTTATTTGAATGTATATGAATTTCATTGTGATTCCTGGATATACTTCTTTGTGTTTAGGCCTTATGAACCTTTATTAAGTTTATGAGTTAGTTAGATTACTATTTCAACATTATGTTTGGATAAAACTTAGTAAAAAAATAGAAGGGAAGGCGAAAGAAAGGAAGGGGAGGAGAAGTGAAGGGAAGAGAAGGGATGAAAAAAATTGATATTAGTTTTATTTAAATAAATAAAAGTAAAAGAGAGGAAAGTATAATAATTTTATTTAATTAAATAATTTAATAAAAAATAAAAT